GAGTGAAGGGTGGGTTTTCAGCAGTGCTGAGGGCGGTTTCCCCCTGGGGCCCCGAATCTGCGGGATGTGGCTCAGTGGAGAAGTCGGAGGTGGTGCGCTGAGGCCAGCCTGTGGGCGGAATCTCATCGGAAAGCAGGTCTGTGGGCTGCAGCTTGCTTTGCCGCGCAAGATGCGGGGCTGGCGAGCGGATAGACAGCCGGTATGGGGTGTTATCGCCAATGGGGTGAAAGGCCAACAGTGATGGCGTGGGGGGGGGGGGAGGGTAGGTGGGGAGCTGTTCCCTGTACCGTTCTCTACATTTTCCTGGAGTTTGAAAATGTTCACGATCACAGTATTGGTAGCAAAAAGACAGAGCAACTAGATGGCAAATCCTAAAATTGTGGACACTTATAGGGAAAAAATAGTTGACCAGGAGTCCCCTGTGAATCGCCAAATACAAAAATATGGGGAGGAGAAAAAAAATTGCAAACCCAAACCCTTAATTATTGGTAACTGGCAGGCGTACATTAAAACAAAACACAAAACAAAACAAAAATGTGTTGCTTACTTTCTTTCTCACAGGATTTGATGCTCATAAAGAATCTATAATAATAAAAGCGTAATATGCTAATTAGACCTGACGTCCTTCGGGGACTTTGAGGGAAGCCCTGGTCCCGGGTGCCAGAGGGAAGCCAGCCCTGGCAGCCAGGGGAAGGAAGGCCTACTCTTGCACGAATTCCGAGCTTCAGGCCTCTAGTTTTTATGCAAAAGATTAAGGTGTTGGAAGGAAGCCTAGTGCATGGAATGGATGGAAGAAAAGACAAGGCCGCCCCTGGAAGATCGCATCCCCCAGGGCTCTGAGCACCTTCCCACGGGAGGACCATGGGAAAGTGGGGGTGCAGAGGGGATGGGGTCAGCCAGTCTTCACCTGCAACCAAGCTGAGGTCGTGCAGGAGGCGACTGTCCCTGCAGTAGATGCAAAAGCTCATTTGACCTGTGGTTCCTTCCACTTCCCCCAAAGGAAAGCCGCAGAGTAGCCAAAGAGGAGTCAGAAAGAGCAAGTGTGGCTCAGTGGTTGAGTGTCAGCTCATGAATCAGGAGGGCAGGGCACATGACCAGGTTGTGGACTCGATCCCCAGTGGGGGGCATGCGAGAGGCAGCCGGTCACTGATTCTCTCTCATCATGGATGTTTCTATCTCTCTCCCGCTCCCTCTCTCAAACCAATAAAGAAATATTTTTTTAAAAAGTGGCGCCAAGTGGGGAGCATGCTGCTGACAGAGGGAGCGGGCTGTGGGGAAGTGTGTCCCAGCCTCCGGCGGGAGCCAGACTCGCTTCCACCGGCCGCTTCCACATGGGTCTGACGCTCTGCTGTTTCCCGTTAGCGCTGGGCTGTCACCTCTGCCCGGTGGTTTGTGGTGGGAGAGATTTCCCGAAGGGGCTGTCCTGGTCCCACACGGAGGGTCTCCCTGGGAGCCGGGAGCTGGGCGCCGGCCAGGGACACAGGAGTCTGGGGGTCGCGCTGGGGGGCCTGAAGGAGCAGGACCTGACTCAGACACGGACTCTCTTTGGGGTGCTTTTCCCACGTGGACAACGAGGAGCCTGCAGGGAGAGGAGGAGCCAGCCTCTCCATCTGCTGCACAAACCCCTTGCCGAGAATGGCTCCTACTATTCCTCCGCCCACCCTGTGCCTGCACCCCGGTACCTGTCCGCTGAGGCCACTTCCCAGGAGCCCCTCGCTTGGTACAGAACTCACAGCGCCTGGGTCTGCCTCCTGGAGGGCCCTCGCCTGGCTGAGACTGGGTTTGTCTCACTGAATCTTCAGCGCCCAGCAGAGCCTGGTACAGAGCCTTCATGCTAATGTTTTATCTGTGCGGAGGCTGGATGGCTCCGCATTTCATGGCTGTGCATTTCCTGTCGCGTCTCAGCCTCTGAAACGCGTCACTGAGTAAATCGGTGGAACTCAAAGTGCCAGCAAGGGAGCTAAAGAGAGATCCTGACTGGGAGCGTGGGTGAGGGGGGCGTGCCACCCTGTAGGTGTGTTTGCAGGACTCGCAGAGCTGCCTCTGACCGCCCGTCAGGGCCAGTGAGTTCATTCAGTCTGCAGCCCGAGGCCAGCCTTTGTCTTCTGCTCTTCGACCGGCGGTGTTTCCTCCTGCCAGTGGGGCAGGGTCTGCCTGGCACGCTGCCCCTCGCCACTTCTCGTTCTGTGCAGACCTCACTGTGGCAGATGCCGCCCTTGGCGCTGAGGGGACCTCTGCCCTCAGCGCCTTCCCTCCCGGGGCTTGTCCAGCAGCCGTGACTGCACGCCTTCTAGGTCTTTCTGAGCGTTTTTCCATCCTGACTTCAGGCCAGGCCCTTGCCGTTGCCATTTTTTCTAAATAAATCGCTGCTTTTGTGGGATTTGCCTCTCTTTCCAAAGTCCCGCGCAGACAAAGGCATTGCAGCGCCCTCCTGGAGCTGGGCTCTTCTCGGCGCGCTGGCCAAGCCCAGGCCACCCAGGCTGGCATGCCCCGTGCCTCCCAGCTCACTGAGGGTCTCAGGGAGACAGGCCAGGCCTGTGCCCAAGCAGAGTCCCGGCTTCTGGGAGCCTGTGGGAGCCGGGACCACGCTGTGTTCATCTTGGCCACCCTGGCGCCCCACAGTTTCTGACACTTAGAAGGACTCTGTGTATGTGGAGTTAGCGAGGGGGTGGAGGAAGGAGAGGAGGAGCAGGATTGAAATGAGAGAGGAGATCCCCCTTCAGGGCGGGGAGTTAGACTGCCGAATGGAGCATTTGGTGAATGGGTTTGCGGCTCCTTCAGGTGTGAATTCCCTCCGGGGGCGGTATCCGTGTGCTAGAAGACTCTGGTACCAGAAATGGGGAATAGAGGCTCTCCGCTCAGATAGCCTCCAGCTGGATAAGGAATAACGCCCGCCCGGATACCGTGTCACAGAACCCATCCGGACACACCTTAACATGGCAGCTGCAGGGAGGGCGGAACAAGTAAGCCTGGCTGGGAGGGAGGGAGGGAGGGAGGGGAAGGTCCTTGTGCTTGGAGCACAGGGAGGGCCCTGCCATGAGCCCCCAGGGTCTGTGAATTGTTGCTCCTGCTCCTGGTGGTGTCTTTGAAACTCTCATTGCACTTCCTGGAGTTGCTCTTTAGTAACTTGTTGCCTTTGCTTGGCTCGTGCTTGCTGAGTTGTGCAGAGGATTGCTATACAGAGAGTCCTGCAAGTTAAGGTGGACCTTATGGTGGATAGAACCCCTTCGGAGGGAGGCACGGGTCCTGGAGAGGCCCCTTTCCGCTGCAGAGAGCCTGTGCAGAGAGCCCGAGGAGAGAGGGTGCTGGGGCACAGGGACCAGTAACCGTAAGCACATTATCAGGGTGAAGAGGGAGCTGGTGACACCTCAGCACCCGCCGAGCTCACTGCTCGCTGCTTCCTCCTGCGGGGATGAGTGCGCCGTGGCTGCCTGCGCACTGTGACCCTGGCCACTGCAGAAGCCACTGGCCCAGAAGGGGAAGTCCCTCCCCGTAAACCTCCATCCACTTCTGAGTTCTCTCCCCGAGGGTGCTGCCTGCGGCCTGGGCTCTGGCCCGGGGACTGGAAACGGTGGCTGTGTCCTCCCGGCCCCCTCTCTCCCCGTGGCGCCTTTGCCTCTGCTGGCCCCTGTGGGCGCCTCCGTCCCTGGCCCTCCCCCTGGCAAAGCTTACCGGCCCCTCCACCAGGAAGCCTTCCCTCACGCTGGGCCGGCTCCTCTCTGAGCCTCGGCCGCCCCCTTGCACCCTGTACGTCATCTTCTGGTCTGACTACGGCCTCCAAGGGGCCGTGAGCTCTCGTGGGCGGGGAGCAGGTCAGAGTCGGCGTGTGCCCCCGGTTACCCCGCACAGGAGGGCGCCATCCAGGTGCAGAGAGCCAGGGAGCCCTGAGCAGCCTCCATAAGCAGTGATTGCACTCTTTCCTGTCATCCTCGGGGGCCAGCAGAGGCAAAGATGGGGAAGATGGCCACTGAGCGTGGCCCGGTGTCCTTTTCCGAATTCCTCTGCCTTCGTTCAGGTTCCTCACGTGAAGCGGCTGTCGGTTCCTTTGAGAATTTCCTGGGGTGAAAGGCACATTCCGGGTACCATCCAGCTCGGTGGCATGACGCTCACTCGCTTGGCTCCCGCCACACCAAGCACCTCCAGGGCCATGTCCTCATCGCAAACCGAGACTCTGTCCATGAACCACTGACTACCTTCCCACCCCTGGCCGGGCCTGGAACCCCCATCTACTTCCTGTCTCTGTGAATGTGACACGGCACCTCAGAGGCATGGAATCACACGGGATTGGTCCTTTGTGTCTCGCTTATTCCACCTCATACTGTCCTCAGGGTTCATCCCGGTAGCACAGGCCAGAGTGTCCGTCCTGAATTTGTTTTTGGGCTTTGAGTGTGTGTGTGTGTGTGTGTGTGTGTGTTTCTGTTAATCCTCACTTAAGCATATTTTTCCATTGATTTTGAGAGAGAGAGTGGAAGAGAGGGGGGAAAGACAGAGAAAGAGAAACATCGATGTGAGACAGACACATCGATTGGTTGCCTCCCACACGTGCCCAGACTGGGGCTGGGATCGAGGTATGTGTCCTTGACTGGCATCGAACCGGGGACCCTTCAGTCCATGGGCCGACGCTCTGTCCACTGAGCCAACCCGGCTAGGCCAGCGCTGCCGTCTGGAAAGCTGAAAGATCTTCCACTGCGTATGTGCCCCACGATGGACGTTGGGTGCTGAGAGCAGTGCTGCTGTGGGTGGGTGGGCAGATACCTGCTCCAGCCCAGGTTTCCAGCCTCCTGGGTACCTGCCCAGCAGCGGAATTGCTGGCTCAGACAGTAAAATCACTTCCACCATTTAGTTCTGTAACGGTCATTTCAGTCCAATCCGAGGCCACTGAGTGAGGGGAGGTGACGTCGAAATGCGGCTGAAATTTCAGCCTTTTGCCCCGTGACCTGCCTGCTGCCTGCTGACATGAAATGGTTTGTTTTCAAGTGTGGTTTCAATTTTTCTTACAGCATCAAGCTTCTCGCTGTGCAAGAGCTCCTTGACAGAGAGGCCCTGGAAAAGGTAAATGTTTTGTTCTTCCCGCTCCACACCCACACCCACACCCGCACCGAAAACAGGCAATCCCTGCCCTCAGAGAGGGAGTTGGCTGCAGGCTGGGCGGTTACTTGTGTCCTAACGGTCAGTGCACCACGAAGAATTGTGGTCAAACCCCCCGCGTGGCTCTTGTGCTGCTAACACTTGCAGACCCGCCTGGCTTGGCCCCTCGGGGCTGTGCGAGGGCAGAGGCCCCGCCTGGGCCGTGCTCTGGGCCCAACCCGAGGGCCAGGGTCCATGACGGCCACTCCCCTGCATCTCTGCCGTGTGTCCTCCTCTGGGCTGGTGGTGATGAGACTGAGGCCCAGTGAGGCGGCGAGCGAAGTGGCGGAGGAAGGAATTGAGTCCTGTGGTTCCATTTCCCAAGTTAATGCTTTTTCTAATTCCCAGACCAGTTCCTGCATTCGAGGCCCTTTTAGGCTACTTCTGAGCACTGGGGAACTCCCTCCCCGCCTCAAACCAAGGTTTGCACGGTGCCCTGGAAGAGATACTGGTGCACCTCGGCTTTCTAGGTTCAAGTCAAGGCACAGCTGGGACCCCTGGCCGGTTGGGGGTTTGAGGTCTGGGTGTGAGGTGGGTTGGGCTCCCAAAACTAGGCTGGACAGGTGCCAAGGAGGTCAGGCTCTCCAGAGGCACTCACACACCCCCAAACTCACACCGGCTGCTCCCCTCGGTTGCTGCGGCCTCTTCCTAGCAATATGATTGCAGGTGTTCATTAGACTACATAACGTTAACATGGAAGAAAGTGGCTAGATCCCAGCCAGCGCGGCTCGGTGTTTGAGCGTCGACCTAGGAACCAGGAACCATGGTTCGATTCCCAATCAGGGCCCATGCCCCAGTTGCAGGCTTGATCCCCAAGGGTGGATGTGTGTGCGGGAAGCAGCCGATCAATGAGTCTCTCTCACCATTGATGTTTCAATCTCTCTCTCCCTCTTCCTTCCTCTTTGAAATCAATAAAGTTACTTTTTAAAAAGTGCTTAAAGAGATAAGCACTGAGGTGATATTTTATTCATAGAATTGTTTGGATTAGCGGTTGGATTGCAGGTTGACACTGAAGCAAATTAAGTTTTTAGGCACCAAGCCGTGATGTGGGCGAGGGGAGGGGTTCTGGGCTCGGGCTCTGAATCTCACGTCCCATCAGCTCGTTTCCATTCCAGGTAAAAAGCCAGGAGCGCGCTGCCTGGGAGCTCAGGGGCGGGACACCGATGAGTACGTTGGCGGAAGGCTCTCTAAATGCCAGGCACTCAGGCCGTATGAATTCTTAATTACGTATGAATTCTTAATGTGCACCAGCCAGAAGGTGTACTAGGTCCGGGAGTGCAGGGAGCTCCTTTGGATGGGTTTGGAACTCCTAAAAGGTTACCTCTCCTGAAACAAGTCTCTTCTCAGTAGTCACTGCAGTTCTTGGTTTTGCTTCTCAGATTAAACACACACATACACACAAACACACCCAACCTCAGACCAAGCTGGTAAACAGCGGCAGGAACATATCGGCCAGGTCTTTGGAGCTGAGTTACTCTCCGATCTGGGGGGGCCATACAGGGACCCCCACCTGGGGAGCCAAGGGCTGCGGGCCCAGCAGAGAAGCGGGCTGCTGTGGGGCGGGGCGCACGGTGTGGCTCAGACTGGCTCCTTCCTCACTGACTTATCTTGGGGTTGCTAATCCTCTCTGCGCTTCCGTTTCCCAGTCTGCAGAGTGGAAATCCGTGTAATCCCCTGTCCACAGAGGTCTTAAAAATACTAAGTAGACAGCCAGCGAGAAAGACTCAACACTGCCCTGCGCTGACTGATCCCCCAAAGTTAGCTGCTGCTCCTGCGCCTTCTCCTTCCTCCCTCCCCTCCTCCCTCCTCCTCACCGGGCCTGCTCATGGCTTTGTACTGCTCCCTGTCTCCACACGTGACCGGCAGACAGCTTTACACGGCGGTCTGAATGAGCACGGGCCCGCCGGAGCCAAGGCCGCTTCCTTCTTCCTTCTTTTGTGCCGTGTGTGCGCCTGCTCCGTCACCCACCCTGCTGGCCCCTGTGGCGCTCTCTGCGTGCAGGCGGGTGGCAGACGCTCCGGCAGAGCCCAGAGGCAGCCAGCGGCCATGCGCGTGGTGGCCAGTGCATTTGAGTGGCAGGTGGACTGTGACCTGGCACAGGCCTGATTTTGCACCCGTTTACCGGAACTCAGGACTCACAGGTCCTTATGCACCCGGACGAGTGGGAGGCCCCCCAGGAAAAGCTCTTGGTAACTCGGAGAGCGTTGCTACCGGAGCCTGGTCTGCAGACCAGCAGCCTCGGAAGCAGTCAGAAATGCAGACTCTTAGGCCCTGCCCAGACCCCCACCTAGGAACCAGGAGGTCATGGTTCACTTCTCGGTCGGGGCACATGCCCAGGCTGCGCTGCAGGCTCGATCTCCAGGAGGGGGCTTGAAGGAGGCAGCCGATCAATGATTCTCTCTCATCATTGATGTTTCTATCTCTCTCCCTCCCACTCCTTTCCTCTCTGAAATCAATAAAAATATATTAGCAATAAGTATAAACCCTACAGCTAATAATCTTAAGTCTACCAATTTCTTATTTAAAAAAAATAAAACTGTTAGACCCACAAGAAGGTGGTTTAATGCACATAAATGTCAGGACTGTGGCATCCCTCTGAAGAAGCCATTTGGACCGGAAGGACTTTTGTCAAACATCCCGCAGGTGCCAGAGCAAGGACCTGCTCTGAGAAGGAAGCTGCCCTCCGGCCGTTCTCTCTGCTGTGAGGGCAGGACGCGTATGTTTTCCTGCACTGAAGTCACACAGACTTCGTTCCCAGGCTTTATAAACAGGCCCACCTAATGCCTTTCAAACGTGGCATTGCATGAAAGGAAATAAAAATATTAGTACAGCTTGATTTAGTAAGATCATTTTTCAATGACCGCTTCCTGCAAAGCTGCAAACAATAGCTTGGCCCTGGCCTCCAGCTGGAGGTCACCCTCCCCTGAGGGGCCAGAGGGCAGAGCACGGGCTCACCCAGCCCTAGACCTGCCCGACTCATGGCCACTGCCTGTGCCACCCCACATCCCCTACCCCCTCCAGGCTCCCTGGCCTCTGCAGGCCATGACTCAGCCATCCATCAAAGCTGAGCGTGTCCATCTCCATCCTCTAGAACCCGGGCTCTGAGGGCGCACTGGGGGTGAGGCCACGCGGTGGGACTTCTTCGGCGGGTTATTGCCAAGCCTCGGTTTCCTTTTGGCATGGGGGCGGGGGTGTCGCAGTGATACCGACTTCACGAGAATGAAGTGAGATAATGTATGAGCTAGAAGGGGTTCTGTTTCTGGTAAGCACCAGAGCAATGGTGGCTAATTCTATCCCTAATCTATCCCTAATCCAGCTGCTGCTGTGGTCATTGACATATCATCCTCATCACCATCGATAACTTCCTCCTCCTCCTCTCTCGAGAAGCCCAACTTGAGATTGATTTGTCGCCATTGGCGGATGTGAAAAAGGGGCCCCCCTCCTACCCTCCTGCCACATTGTCTAGGTCAGTGGTCAGCAAACTCATTAGTCAACAGAGCCAAAAATCAACAGTACAATGACTGAAATTTCTTTTGAGAGCCAAATTTTTAAAATTTAAACTTCTTCTAATGCCACTTCTTCAAAATGGACTCTCCCAGGCCATGGTATTTTATGGAAGAGCCAAGCCCCAAACATTCTTATTTTAAAAAATGTTGGCCTCTTATCATTAGAAAGTATCATTAAATCATTTTACCTAGAAGTGAAGATTTATACAAAGCAGTTGCTCATTTTTTTTGTGTAATCTCTATATCGCTATTTGTTTTTATGATGAATACTTAATGAATTTAGGTTGGAAATATTTTTTTAAAACGTTTGGAGCCATTAGGAGACAATGCTATGAATTTAGGTGCGGGCAGGAAAGAGCTCCCGCCTGGAACTTGTTTTATCCGATCACTGCTGCACTCAGAGTCTGGATTGAGTGCCATCTTCTCCCTGGGAGGAAGTCCTTGGTGGTTTGATTGCTTTGTCTGTAGTCTCTGAAAGTTCTGAGCTCTTTACTTTCTTAGTGGTTGCATCGCCATTCATCAAATTCCCTCTAACTATTTCCGTGAGCTATAGACACATTACTCCGGTGTGGTTCTCTTCCCTCTCCCCCTTTTTATGCTGTTGGTGCACATATTACATCTAAACATGCTACCGACCGCACTATACATTGTTCCAATCATTGCTTTACATATTCTTCCTCTTTTAAAGGAGATGAGGGAAGAAAGGAGCACGCATATATATCTATAGAGTTGTCTACATTAACCTTCTCATTTTCCATTTCCGGCTTTCTTCCTTTGTTTCTGTGGATTCACGTTCCCATCTGGCATCACTTTCTCATTCCAATGCAGCTTTGCTCCCTCCCATCTCCTTCGGGCTGTCGTCCACTGTGTTACATTTCTATATGTTGTATATCCAGTCATATATGTTGTTTACACAACATGAGTAAAGGAGGAAATACGCACTTATCCTGTCTTGTGTTATTACATAATTACCTTTCCTGGTTCTCTTCAATTTTTTCATGAGGATTTGGGTTGGTCTGGGGTCACTTGCTTTCAGCCTAAAGAACGTTCTTTAGTAATTCTTATAAGAAAGTTCTACTAGCAACTAATTCTTACAGTTTTAGTTCGTCTGGAAGTGCATTGCATCTTCCTTTTTTGAAAGGTGGTTTTCTGAACTTAACACATTGCGGACCAGTAGTTTTATTACTAGCTTTACCCAGTAGCCAGATAAGTTTCTATTGAACAAGTACAAAAAAACATAAATGTTAAAGGCATGCTTTAAAATTAAATACCCATTGCATTTCGAAGTTAATTTATTACATGTTCCTACAAGCTAATACCTTTTTAAAGAATTCTCGTGATTGTCCACAAGCCTCAGAACAGAAAGCATGCGAGTTCTCGTGATCCGTCCTCGACATGTTCAGATTCCTGCACTTAGAA